CAATGAGCAGTTAATACGCTAGAAAAGCTAACTAATCTATAACAATGAGCAGTTAATACGCTAAAAAAGCTAATTAATCCATACCAATGAGCAGTTAATACGCTAGAAAAGCTAGTTAACCCATACAGCTATCTAATCTATAACAATAAGCAGTTAATACGCTAGAAAAGCTATCTAATCTATAACAATAAGCAGTTAATACGCTAGAAAAGCTATCTAATCCATAACAGTGAACAGTTAATACGCTAGAAAAGCAATAGCTAATCCATAACAATGAGAACTTAATGCGCTAGAAAAGCTATCTAATCCATAACAATAAGCAGTTAATACGCTAGAAAAGCTAATTAATCCATAACAATGAGCAGTAAATACGCTTAATGCGCTAGAAAAGCTATCTAATCCATAACAATAAGCAGTTAATACGCTAGAAAAGCTAATTAATCCATAACAATGAGCAGTAAATACGCTAGAAAAGCTAATTAATCCATAACAATAAGCAGTTAATACGCTAGAAAAGCTAGCTAGTTAACGTCTAGGCAGCGGCCGCGGTAGGGAGGTGGCGACCACACATACATAGAAGCGTCAGGTCGCATCACATCCATTAGTGGCGGTAAATAATGGGCAATGGAGGGTGGTTATCAGACGGACATCTGTCGTGGCAGCCCGACCACTTCATTAGAGGGAGAGAGAGGAGGTAGTAAGTAGTGCAGGAACTAGGCAGCGTTAGTGCACTCTTGCTATCAGCGCGTGGTTATTAAGAGACCAGCACATATGCAATGCTAAGGGCGTGGTTTGCGTCTTGATGCGCACTTTAATGGACTATTAAACGTTGTCCTGAGCACCTCTGTCCTGGGGGCTGAGGCGGTGATCTTTATGAATTTAACCTCACTTAATCATGAGGCTTCAACTGTGTTATGAAGACATTATAGCTCGTGAAAATTTCGAGTTTTCTGATTTGGTTAATGAAAATCCGACGCTACTGTTGTTTTCCTTTTCCCGGCTCGTTAAACGTTCGGAAATCTGTGCACAAGAGATGCTACACATTCAAGTTTGAAAAATAGTTATAAATTTAACATAAGTAATTTCAGTTTGCAAGCAAGCTCATATAGCTCATATCGCTCGTACTGCTCGCATAGTGCTCATATAGCTCATATCGCTCGTAGCGCTCATGTTGCTTACATCGCCCACATTATACTCACGCAGAGAGCTCATATTTCTCACATATGCTGCGCTCATATCGCTCACATATTACTCACGCATAGAGCTCATATTTCTTATATATACTGCTCTCATATCTCTCACATTGCTCAGAGCGCTCATATCGCTCACATTGCACAAAACGCTCATATTTCTCATATATACTGCGCTCATATCTCTCACATTGCTCAGAGCGCTCATATCGCTCACATTGCACAAAACGCTCATATTTCTCATAGATATACCGCTCTCATATCGCTCACTCGTGCATGCATGGCAATGTGCGGCACACATAAACCGGCCTTGCTATGCGATACAATTCAGATTTAAGTTAACGAATAGATCTTCAACGTAATATTTAGATGATAATTAATGATTAATACTTCACATCGGTTGAATTCATCAATAACAAAATAAATTTATCATGTTTTATACATTAGAAATAGCGTTATAATTAAATTTTACTTGAGCCAGGATTGAATTCTAGAATGTTCCAGGAAGCGCATATATGTATTTGCATGGCGATGCCACCGAAGCTTCTAACTGAAACTGCCAATCAAAAGCACGTAAAGCTTAAACTTCAAACCACCACATGCGCTTACGCATACCACGCACTGAGTGTTAGAGTACAACCACGATTTGAAGCTATAGCTAGGGCAGAGCTACGAATGCGTTTATCTTACATAAAATTTAATAAAATTACTTTTTAAACGAGGAAACTCGTACAATTATACGCTGAACACGTTACATGTTACAACGAACCTCGTCCACTTACACGCTGAACACGTCACATGTTACAGCGAACCTCGTCCACTTACACGCTGAACACGTTACATGTTACAGTGAACCTCGTCCAATTATACGCTGAACACGTTACATGTTACAGTGAACCTCGTCCAATTATACGCTGAACACGTTACATGTTACAGTGAACCTCGTCCAATTATACGCTGAACACGTTACATGTTACAGTGAACCTCGTCCAATTATACGCTGAACACGTTACATGTTACAGTGAACCTCGTCCAATTATACGCTGAACACGTTACATGTTACAGCGAACCTCGTCAATTATACGCTGAACACGTTACATGTTACAGCGAACCTCGTCAATTATACGCTGAACACGTTACATGTTACAGCGAACCTCGTCAATTATACGCCGAACACGTTACATGTTACAGCGAACCTCGTCCAATAAAATAACACACTGAAAACGTTACACCTTACAGCGAACCTCAATAAATTGTAAGCTGAACATTTTTATATTACGAGAAACTTCGTTAAATATAAAAACTATCGCTTCAATGAAAATTCGCAACGTATTGAAGAGATCATTTTCTCCGTGTATTTGTAACCTGAAATAAAACATAATGTAGAATTAACTGCTTATTTTTAGATCAAACGGTCTGCGTCACAAAACGTCCCTTTAAGTTAACGTCACAAATCATGCCTGCAAGTTAGCGTCACAAATCATTCCTGAAAGTTAGCGTCAAAAATCATTCCTGCAAGTTAGCGTCACAAATCATTCTTGAAAGTTAGCGTCAAAAATCATTCCTGCAAGTTAGCGTCACAAATCATTCCTGCAAGTTAGCGTCACAAATCATTCCTGCAAGTTAGCGTCACAAATCATTCCTGCAAGTTATAGCATCACAAATCATTCCTGAAAGTTAGCGTCACAAATCATTCCTACAGGTTAACGTAACAAATAACTTCTGCGAGTTAGCGTCACAAATCATTCCTGCAAGTTAGCGTAACAAATTACTTCTGCAGATTCGCCTCACGATTCTTGTCTTCAGACGATAATTAGCAGATGACTATACAATTAATGGCTACAATCTTGCTGCTACAGACCTCATGCCGCAGAATCATCAACAAATCGAATAAGAATTCGATTACTTTTCCACGTTACCAAGAAACCGCGAAATTCCTGCCTTGAAAATGTCACAAAAAATCCACATGGGAAGCAAAACAAACAAATGCCGATCGAAAATGAAAAATATCCAAGGCATTCATCCGCGAGCCAGTGCGATCGGCTTCTGTAGGCTCTCCCTGCGAGAGCCTGCGCTATCATCTGCTACAGGCTCTCCCTGTGAGAGCCTGCGATATCATCCTACTACAGGCTCTCCCTGCAAGAGCCTGCGCTATCATCCTGCTACAGGCTCTCCCTGCGAGACGAGCCTGCGATATCATCCTGCTACAGGCTCTCCCTGCGAGAGCCTGCGCTATCATCCTGCTACAGGCTCTTCTTGCGAGAGCCTGCGCTATCATCCTGCTACAGGCTCTTCTTGCGAGAGCCTGCGCTATCATCCTGCTACAGGCTCTCCCTGCGAGAGTCCCATTACAAAAACCTGCCAAAAAGGGACATCTCATGCCGGCAAAATAAGTCGGGCTGGGACGTACGTCTCTGCATAAACACAAGTCCCATTACCCGCTTGTCTTTTGGAGCCGTCAATCCGCGCCTTCTGTCTGTCGTCCTGTGGGTCCATCATTGGACGCACGCATCTCATAACGCGGGACTATTTGCACTGTGCTCTTCAGTGTTCAGTGGCTGCAAAATGTTACGAAGAGCAAGCAACAGCAGTCCATCTTGTTTACATTCTTGCAGTCCAGGAGTCGTGTTAGCTTCCCTCATGCATAATTCAAAGCAATGCGCTCCAATCGAGCCAACGGACTCTCTCACTTGCTCCAAAACTTGCCAAAAATCACACCAAAAAACACACCTCAATCCTACACTTGCCGACACCCAATTAACTTGACTGTGCTCGGCCAATCAGATACAAGCTTTCCTGGAAACTTGTTAAACTCCGCCAATCACTAAAGTCTGGGCGATCAGACTCGTCCCGCCTTTCCGGGCCACTCGCCGCCAATACGAGCGCTTGCCGCGACCTCATTATCATATTATCACGGCGCCAAGATGAACATTCCCCGAAGAATACTCATAAAATCAAATTATTCAAAATGAGTTTTAGTAAACTCATCCAGCATGCTGAGTGATAAATGCTGCGCTACTATCAGTAAAATATGAACAATACATACCCGCATTCCAGTATCAAGAAGCAAGCGTTCCAGGCGGGACCTGGAACGACAGCCTGGGCGGAGCAGCAGGCTGGGACCGCGCACTGGCCACTGAGCGCCAGTCAAGCCATCATTGTTCCCAGCGCCCGCGCCGCAGACGTGCAGTCCTTATATTTATTAGCGTTACACTGCAGTCCAGTTGTGGCACGTGGAGTGTGCTGCTTATGTGTGGCTTGGGTGTCCAGTATACGGTGACCGCGGCCACTTATTCGGTGCCAGTGTTGGGTACACTTACTCTCCGTACCGCAAAGAAATACTTTTACATCAATCAATCTTAGTTATACAAATTTGCAGAACAAATTTTTTCTGTGTGAAAAGTTACTTGATTTTTAATAATTCGCAGAAAAAAAAATTATTCACAATATGTTCATTGCTCGTGATGATTTGCAGGGAAGTAATTCAGCCCTTATGCAATGCCGATCTCGTAAACTTCACTGAAATGATCAAAGTCAACGGGAAGGCCTCAAATTGATAGATACAATATTTTAATTTAAATTTGATTTCATCAAGCCTTGCAAAAAAAACGCTGACCAACTCGACCGTCACGCTTTATTGAATTACGAAGCTTCATCGTTCTTAATTGAAATGGAACTCTGGAACGGTAATCAAGGAACGAGAAAATGAGTGCAAGTTTGCAGGAGTGCACATAACGTTTGAAAAATCAGTAATTATAGATCAAAAATTGAAGAAAACAATCACATATTAAATTATGTAATTAAGAAATTTTTATCGTAAAAAATGCATTTGATTACAGAAAAAATATGTGAAAAGAAATCATTGAAGCGTGAGACGTAATCTTGTAATAAATAAACTTGATTGATTGGTGTTCAGTTTAGTATTTGAATTCCACAGGATCGGAAGATTCAGTTAATGTTGTTATAGGAGCAGTCGATCCCGTGATTGCTAATTGGTGTTGTTGAATTAAGTTTATTGGAAGAACTCCGAAAATAATTCGAGTAATCATTACAACGAATTGAATCAACCGTAATATTTTGAAGCTTCACGAAAAATTAATAGCAGCTACAAAAATAAAAATATAACACATTTTTCCACCGTCATGCTTCACACAGCCCCCGCAGTGGGGTTACCCAGCCTGACCCTGAGGAGTAGAAGCCCTTCCCCAGTACATCACCATCTGCCTAGGTTGTCTTCCCCCCGCCAGCTCGACCGATCTTCATCCCCTCCCAGCCATTCTTCCCCAGTGCAAAATCACTGCAGATCTTCCCCATTTAGCGGCCATCATTCCCACTCTCCTTCCCACACACATTCCCCAGCTAATATCCACCGGCGGTCACACTCCCCTTCCCTCCAACATCGGCGATCCCATTCCCCACCAGGGCATCACCGAGCCATTTCCCCGCCGCCGTCCATCCACATGAGGATAGGTTCTTCCCCACTGCACCAGAGAACACCGTCTCCTGGTCTCTCTACTTCGCCAAAAGGATGCTCTAGTCCACCTCCCCACAAATCCTTCAGCATCTCCAGCATCCTGAGCAGGGATGACCCCAAGAGGGATGCACTCTTCCCCGACGCTTCCCCTCTCAGCCTCGCTCAGCAAGACGCTATCGCCGCAAGGTAAATATCGAATGTCGGACGCAATGCTTGCGTAGAGAAAATATTTATAGAAGCAGGAAATAAATGTTATAAAACACCGCGCATAATATTCAAGTTAGTAAAATTGTAAAATACATTTCAGTGAGGGTAAATTAGCGTCCTGTTTAACAAGAGGTATAGCTTCAGATATTTCTTTTAGAGTAGCATTTATTACCAAAATAATAAATGAAAATTAATGTCTGTATGATATTTATTCCCAAAATAACGAGTAAAAATTAATGACTCCACGGCATTTATTACCAAAATAACTGATGGCGGATGCAGAAAAATATAACGGATGATAACTAATGACTACGGCATTTGTCACCACTGTAATGAATGGCAGTTAATTAATTTATTATGGAGTCTCAATGGAGTACCAATTCATACTTCATTATAATGATGTTCCCGCAGAAAATAACATAATTGCTTCAACTTCAACGTCCGATCTACGCAATCAAACTCACATTCTATGTTATTAACGGGATTCAAACATAACCTGTGACGGATTGACCTCCTGACACAACCTCTACAATAGAAGCGTTTTTCATCCCGACAATAATATTAAATTCAACATTTTCTCTCCAAACATTTGTTGAAATTATGAAGAAATTAATTACTTCGAGTTTGAATAGAAGGCGAATAGCTTTTTTAAATAATGTTAATGTGAACTACAATGGGTGAAAAACAAACATTTTTTTGTTTGCAATGCTTTCAATATCTGTGCCTTGTCAATAGAATATAGCAGCTTCGTTGAAAACCAACTAAGTTGATATTCACCTTACTTAAAAATGTTTCATTTCTTTGCTCAAGGAAACACGATACTAACTTTTAATTTTTGCATTATGTAATACAAGATAAAGTTCACTGATAATAAAACCTACTTTTCAAATTATTCGAACAAGAGAAAACAAACTCATCATTAGAGATGAATTTGAATCCAAATAGTAACAAATCAGTAGAGACCTTTTTTGTTTATTGCGAAATTTTACGGCAGACTATTTGTTTGGAACGAACGGACAAATTTACATGTAAAGTCTACGGTAACTGATGCCAACATTTAACTATCTCTCTGTCACTGCCTTTCTCATTTGACGCGATTATGAGCAGAGAAAAAAGCAGGCGAGCTTCTTTAAGAGAATTATTGTAAAATTTTTGAACCCGATTGAGGAAACCGAACCAATTACGGTTCTTCTAAATTTTTAACGACTAACAAATGTAAATGGATTTGATCTATAACAGAAAAGCGTAAAATACAGGGATTGAATTTTTACCATGTAAAATTTCTATTTTATTTGAATAGCATTGAAAAATCTGTGTTGCTGATCCGGCTTTTGTAATTCACAATTTTATTTTTTTCGATTCTATTATTCATATAGGCGCTGTTCCTCATTCAGGATGCGATAATACAAGCGGCATAAAATATGGAATTCAACCATTAGAACCATTAAGGCAACAGATAATGTAAATACACAACAGTTTAAGTAAATAAATGATGATCGTTATCTATTGCTACCGGTTTGTTATATGTATTAATTTCAACCAACACAATTCACAAAAATTTTCTTAAAACTAGGCTTTTTTATGCGAGACTATTTAGTCGTTACACAATCAGAGTATATTTTGCATCAGGAAATGCCTAACAACCAAAGACACCAACTGTATGAAAAAATTGCATTACGTACTCAATGTTAGCACATTTTATAGCGATTTTTCGGCGGTAAATTGATTTCAATTCAATATATGAATTTAGCACATATCTATATTTGTTGCAGATTTCACCAGCCACTGTATCGAGTTATTTAAACTGAACTATATGTTGAAAATATGCATTTTTATCAATTGTGAATAAAGTGAATTTGTAACTATTGTTTCTTCCATTCGAGGTTCTCTGCTCAAGTTTATAACAGAAAATCACTGATATTTTCATCATTATAAATTTGCAGTTACATTGATCACAATGTGACTCAAATCTATAATTATTATTCACATTTTTTTCTATTCACCACACATGAAATGATATTAAAAAAATTACTAAAATACCTTCAATTAGTTGTCGAGAGTCATGGCGGCAATTTCAGGCACAGAGCATAAATTTATAATTACATCAAACTCCATAAATAACTTTCTTTTCATTTTAGTGAGCACAATATAATACTAAAATTTAATGCATGAATTAGAATATAGCATGTGAATATCACTCCCGCAAGATATGCCAAAATCCTCTTGTAATTACATCCGATTGAATCTGAATAATGGTTTAAAACCATAAGTTTTCATGTCAACAGGTAAAAAATATACGACAATCAAAGAAACCATTGCCATTAAGCAAAGGAAAATATTCGACAGTGTAATGATTAATGGTAATGCTGGATTGATGACAGAATATAATAATTATTTTCATAACTTTGACAGTGATTTGAAACCTCACTATAATACTTATTATTGCCTATTCTGGAATAATATCTGACTAAGTTTTAAATTAGAATCGTCGAATTCTAATTGATTGATTATTATCAATACTGGTGTCATAACGCTCAGCTTTTACATGTAAATTTTAACATTCAACTATTATAACCGTATCACAACACCCAACTATTACAATTGAGTCAAAATTGTCATATGGAAATTATGATAGTCAACTACTGCACTCTCATCATAACATGCAATTATATTAAACTCTATAATTCTATTTTGCCTATATTACAGTAAATAACAAAAACTCTCCTCTCCACAGACTGGGGCTCATGTCCCACATGGCCCTGGCGGCGTCCCGACATCCCCTCCTCTCTCTGTACCCCGAGTTCACGGGTTCAGGGGGCCTTCCTACTCATCCCCATGGGGCTATGGGCCAGTTTGGGTCTCATGGGGGAGTTATGGGGCAGCATTCCCCTCTTACAAGCCTGAGTGGGGCTCTGGGAGGCGTGGGGAAAGCAGCGGCGCCATGGTATGCAGCTGCAGCCCCATGGTCATTCCCCAACCTGGCGGCACTCACTACCTCCGCCCGGAGCAAAACTGCAGGTTAGTGGCGCGCCCTTGATGTATAATTAAACTTAAAATGCAACGCTCACAATCTATGAAACGTGTAGTATTATACCATACAGTATTATCACGTTAAGTGCGGCAACGACCCACAGCGCTGGCAGCTGGCCTAAAAATGGCCAAGTCCGCTGCTAAAAAGGCCTATAATTCAAAAAATACTAGTAAATTTGTAGGTTTAGGTGCAAAAATTAAATTTTCCTTTTTTCGTACATTTTATATTTTAATGAGGCAGTACTGCCATCATAAATTTTCGTCTACAAACGCAATTGAAAAAAAACTAAATCGCGGAATTTATCCGGAAAAAAAGACCCTGCCACCCACCCGTGGGTCGTCGCGCACTTAACGTGTTATGGTATAAAGTATAATGGTATTATATCATATAGTATCATAGTATATGAAACACAATGTTGCAAAGAATCCTACTGGCCGTAGTAGACCAGAATTAGTGGTTTATGTGTATGTTATGAATAAAATGCTTGCTGTAGCAACGTGCTAAGCATCCGCCAGCACTGCAAGGCGCCTTGCAGACTCGGTAGCTCTGTAAACGATGCATTGTCATAGTCTTGGCTGCTATGTTGTACTCTTGACAGACACATGAAAGACTGAAGGAGTGAGGGAACACATAAGGGAGTGAGAGGACACATGAAGGAGTGAGGGATCACATGAATGAGTGAGGGAACACATGAAGGAATAAGAGAACACATGAAGGAGTGAGGGAACACACGAAGGAGTGAGGGGACACATGAAGGAGTGAGGGAACACATAAAGGAGTGTGGGGACACATGAATGAGTGAGGGGTTCTCGTGAATGGGCCCCACTTCAAGCCTCTCACATCAAACGGACTCAAATCAGACGTCCAGCCGTCGTGCGCCTCACAGACAAATTAGAGCCTCGGAAGCCTGGCCTGTTGCGCCGGCCTCATCTGTTACTTGCTGCCGTCCCACTCGCGACGGCTGCTCCTGTGCAGCTGTAACTGATCAAACAGCGTTAGGAACACAGCTGTCGCTCTGGCCATACAGCAAGGAACACAACTGTCACTCTGGCCAAGCAGCAAGGAATACAGCTGTCACTCTGGCCAAGCAGCAATAGGAACACAGCTGTCGCTCTGGCCAATCAGCGTTAGGATACAGCAGCGTTCATTTTAGACAGTGTTGAGATGCAGCTGCTCTCGGGTCAAGCAAAAATAGGAATACAGCTGTCGCTCTGGTCAAGTAACGTTAGGATACGGCTGCGCTCAGGTTAAGCAGCATCAGTATACCGCTGTGCTCAGGTCAAGCAGCAATAGGAATACAACTGAGCAGTGAGTATGCCTTCATGCACACATTTTAGACACGTGCATCTCCACACACACTCGAACACATCCATCTCACGCACGAACACATTCATGTTCATGCACGCAATAACACACTCACTCCCTTCTCTCACATGGAAGCGCTAGCGTCCCCTCACCTCCGGCAGGAGCACGAGATGTAATCTGCTGGTGGCCGCGCCGCCGTCTCATTCAAAGTCCGGCAAAAACCATCAGCACTTTTGGCCGCGGCTCAAAGCTCTCCATTTTAGACAGATTCACTGGACGCCTCGACGCCTTTGTGGCCAAGCTCAAAACTTGCCACCTTTGACAGCGCCAGGCCACCCCTGATGTGTGTCAGTCTGTCTGGCAAAATATTCGCCGCTCTTTCGGTAATTTTACCGTCACTTTACCCGTCAAACTGTCGGTAATTTAGTACTAAGTTATAATGAGTCTCATTTTGATGTCTAGGTCAATGCCGGCTAGTCATTACTGCACGCTTCCGTCGGCACTGTCCGACAAAAATAAATATTTGTGTAAATTTGCCAGAGCCTATGGCTGCTTGAGTGAAAATTAATGGTTGGCTATTGAAAACAATGTAAGCGATGAAATCATTAAAGACAATCACTTCTGCTTCATGACTGAGATGAGAAGAGCGACTTGAGTCTGAAAGAAGCGGCTTCAAACCAACCAATCAAGTCGATGAGACAGTGATTGGAAGCTGCGTCCAAGTTTCTCTTGAATGGAGCAGTGGGGAAAAATAAAAGAAGATGGTCAAAGAATGGATATTAGAGAGGCTTACGAGTGACAAATGGGGCAATGAGGAAGGATATACTAAATGAAAGAGAAATAACTATGAGGTAAAAAGAAAAAAAATGAGTTGCAGGAGGGGAGCGAGCAACTGAAAGAAGGGGAGCAAACGGTTTAAAAGAGGATGGTATGAGGAGTTAAGGTAGTATAAAATCGAAGGAAGGAGGATAGACTTTAGATAGCAAAATGGGTAGAACCAAAGAAAAAAAAACGTAAAAAAGACAAGAATACCAATCAATCGGCAGTCATTCTACGAGACCTTCATTTAACGAAATACAGGCAATGAAACAGAAACATACAACAAACATCAAAAGCCAGATGGACAGAAACATACAAACAAACACGCAGATTTGGAGTGACAGAAGTACAGAGGGTAAGAAAAACACGCCATCGAGAGAAGTGGGCTGTCGCCGATTGGAGTGGTCAGAGTTTTAGCAATAGAGGGAAGTGATCTTCATTACGCTGATCGAGGGGTGACGCTTCAAAGACCAGCACTGAGCACTTTAAAACATCGCGACAAAGCAAAATGATATTAGGCAGTAACTGCGCTGATGTCGGCAAATTATATTTGGTGATAACTGGGATAATACTTTGGAAGACCTTATGTGGTAATGGGCAGCTGTTGGATATTTATTACACGAAGTTCCTACAAATGATCAGAAGAATTAATGAGCTTGATAGAAATGAGCCTCCACTACGTATGATCAAAAACTTGTTGTGTAATAACACAACACTGCTCAAAAATGGTCACACTGCTCAAAAATGATCGTGAACGAATAGAGTCGACGAAGGTGACAGTGTGGAGCAAAACTCGTTATATTGAACGAGCGAAAAGATGGACGAGGGTGTGCGTATACAGTATATATAGCGGTGAATGAGCAAGCGTAATTGCGCGTAGAAATGGAAGTACCGTATAAGCTTATAAGTGCTACCGTACCGTATATGCTTATAAATGGAAGTACCGCATATGCTTATAAGTGCTACCGTACCGTATATTTTATGAATTCAAGCTAATGGTATCGATAAAGCGTATACGCTAGATCAACGATCGAGGGCGTAATATAATAAGGATAACAAGGAGTGTATTACCCGTATGATCGCTAAGGACTTGTACCTAACATCATAAAAAGACTTGGAGTATAATAACATAAATTCTCGACTGCCCATCTAGGCCGTGTGCTTCATATCTGAAATAGCGTAGGCGTATAGTAAGAGAAAGATCCAGCGCATGATGGCATGCGTAGGCGCAATACAGTTTAGCACATAGGCCGTTTGAAGCGTGTGAGCTGCGTCGGTATCGTTACAGCCCCAAGTCACGCCTTGCTCGTCCTGCTCTTTATTTCTGATAGGCCTAGGCTTACGATGCGCTGCCAAAAGCTACGCAATTCAGATAATATAACGAGCGTAATAATAATTTTAATGGGAACCTTCTCAGCAATAATTTTGACTTCAATGATTTCTCGAGATTTACCTGCGGTCTTAAGGTTACAATTTTTACACATTAGATTATTAGATGCACATTTGATACAATCAAATACTCCACTTGACATAAAAATGACTTTATTCAACCATCGCGACCACTTCGTTCAAGGCCCCAACCCTGACCATGGGCAGCACCACGATATACCATGCAGATCAAGCGGCTATGGCTGCGCCCCTGCAGTTCCCACGCAGCTCATAGCTCTTAATAGTCTCATTCCGGTTTTTGTGAGTCCGTCAAACTTGTGGCTTTCATTGGGATGTCGGCAACCATTTTGTCATGCGGTTTTCCTGTCGCTGCAATGGTTATTCTCGCGTCTGCCACTCAACGAGAACAAATTAAGTGAGCGGCTTTTGATTTTTTGGATATTAATTTAGCTTTCAAAAGTAGCTTGTCTCAGTCTTGCGAAGAGGACACAATTCTGGATATTTTATTTATTGACCGTTCATCGAATCTCGTTTAGTGGCCGTTACTGAATCTCATTTACTGACTGCTTGCTTTATCCTGTCACTGACCTCACACCCACTTACTGGCCGCACCGGTTAATTACTTAATCATACCACTGGGCCAATCAATTTATCTTGCCGGTGGCAACACGCCTATCCTGTCATTTGTCCATCACCTAATCCTGTCGCTTGCTAATCACCTAATCCTTGCACAGGTCAATCAATTAATCCTGTCATCGGCCAATCGCTTAATCCTGCAGCCATCTACTCACTGAATCGCTCCACAGGTCGCTGCTCAGACCTCCAAGCAATAATATCGATATTCTCAACACAATATTCCTGCCACTGGAATAGAAAAGCAATCTTTGACTTTCTCCTCGCTGTCCCCCACGAGCCAAAGTTTCCCCACCTTCGCGATCACATCGGACAATGGCGGGCGGGCGGAACAACGGCGTCATTCAATCCTGCTAATGGCGCTAACATACGGTCGGTCTGTCGGACGCACCGACCAACTCATGAAGAGACGAGTCCGAACAACTGACGAAGAGACGAGCCTGATAAACTGACGAAGAGACGAGTCCTATCAATTGATGTAGAGACAAGCCCGACCAACTGACGAAGAGACAAGCCCGAACAAATCACGATGAGACGAGCCCGACCAATTCACGAAGAGACAAGTCCGACCAACTGATGAACAGACGAGTCCGATCAGATGACGAAGAGACGAGCCCGGCGAGACACACTGTGAAGTTGCTTGCATGTAGCACGGAGTACCTTCACGCCTCAGCGCACAAACGGACGTTGACAGAAGTCCAGAGCGACAGTGAGCAGCGGGTGGTGAGGACTGCCCAAGAATATGGTCCTGGCTGGTGGTAGAAATGGAACTGATGGACGGAAGCTTGCTCGAGTTCACCATGGGAACATTTCTGGCGTCAGAATTTACAGCAAATGCTGA